ATGTTTGTATTAAACCAGCAGATTCTTGTTTGCGTAAGTGAATCTGCCACATGGGGAGGGACTCAAGCATCCAGGATGGGGAAGTATAGTTTGATGTATCCTTGTTCTGTTTCCACTGTCACACTCTCCATGGAAGATCTTGGGATCAACTTGACAAGCACATTCATGTCGTACAGCTTCCGAGTGGAGTGCAATATTAAGTTTGGAGTTGGACAGCGGTCCACTGGCTCCGAAGGGATTACTCCTGCCCCATCTGCATCAGTAAGCTCCATCAAGAAAATTCCTTCCGGCAACATTACACAAAGCAATGGTACCAGGCGTCTTTAGGCATACTCCAATTGACTTCTTCTCATTGTGTCTGCCCTTTTGCTTTTGTCCATCCAAGGTCTGCTCCCATCCGTGCCTTTTTCCTTTCGTTCTGTCCCAACTACTACCGAGCTGCCGCATGAAGATTTTTCCCTGGGATGTTCTTTGATCTCCTTCCCAATCGTTGCCCCACCTTACTCTTGATCTGGATGAGATCTCGACATGTCACCTATGTTTCCTTCATCTTCTTCGGATACCTTGTTTAGTCTGGCCTGCTCTCGATCCTCTTCTTCATCTCTACCCTGATGACTCCTCTTGACAGTGCTCCTCTTCCTTTCCTTCAAGATAGTGTCTGTTCTTTCCTCTGCGTTCCTCTGTTTTTTCCTTTCTTTTTTTTTCGCCTTGACTCTACTGAAGTTACCCCTTTTATTTTTCTTCCTTCTCTTTGTTTGCCTTGACTCATACTGTACCGCCTCACCTTTACGTATGTTGTATTGTTTCGACTTCACCCTATATCATCCTGCTCCATCTCAACTTGTCATTCTTCACTTCGTAATCCGTCGTGGTAGTGGTGGTTGAGACCAACCATTGTCTTTATTTTTATCGTTTCACACTTGCCCCTGCCATGGGCAATGCGAATTTGTGCATTTCCTGCACAATGTTTCATTTTCCAGACCCTGTGGCGACGCCTAAGTGGGTTTGGTGGCCTAATGAGGTTTGGTGAGTGGTGCGGCGAGGCCCTAACACGGGGCAACGTGGTGAGTCCTAATCCATCAATCAAATGCATCCCATGTAGACCGTCGGGGTTCAACCTCCATGAAAGAAGCATAACCGGTACACTATCTGGTGAAACAGTGTACCAGTCATGCTTCTTTCATGGAGAGGTGCATACCGAACATGACAAACTAAGGGCACGGGACCAGTTCTCTAAATCACTATATAAAGAAGAAGTAAAAAAAACAAAATCACTCCGCCCTCTTGCTGGAGACATCGCCCTGGGCCGGTAGCAAAATAGCTAGAAAAATAGCCCAGGGCCGGTAACAAAATCGCACTGGGTACCACATGCGACACAGACCTGGTACCATGGCCTGGTACCGCGAGCGGTACAGGCCCTGGCCCCGCGGTGATTTTTTTTTTTGTTTTTCGGTTACACTCAGTGGGACCAAGCCGCGACCACCACCCATCTAAAACACAATGGCGGCACGAACTTTGGCTCACACCGCACGGGGAATTTTTGGCCGGTACATCGCGCGGGGAATTTTTGGTCGTTACACCACGCGGGGAATTTTTGGTCGGTATACCGCGCGGGGAATTTTTGGCCGGTACTCCGTGCGGGAAATTTTTGGCCGGTACACCGCGTAGGTCCCCCTTGCCTATACCGCACAGGCAATTTTTGGTCGGTAGCTTCCTCAACTTTGGGAGGCGGCTCCAGAAAGAAACCCTGCCCCTACTTGGGCGTGTGTGAGTGTAAGAGGGGCTTGACCCTCGACTCCCTACTACGCTGGACTCGTGACTGAACACTCGGACCATCTACTACCCTTTGCTGGACTTGGACATGTATGTGTGTGTGTGGGGAGGGGGGGGAAGGGGGGAGAGAGAGAGAGACACAGACATAGAGAGGGCTAGTAGAGAAAGGGCTCTCTACTGGCTACTTGGGCTCTTGACTCGCTAAGCTACAAGAACACACGCTCATCACACACTCGTCGCACGCACACACACACATACACGCACTAAGCACATTCGCACACACGTACATTTCGAGCGCAGTTCGTGCGGATTTGTGGAGCGCGGTTCGTGCGGATTTGTGGTAACGAAGCTTTTGGTGGAGATCGTGAAGGTTAAAGACGTTGAGGATTGGGCTGTGCATTATGTGGAGTCTTAAAGACGACGGGGTCACCATGAAAGAATGTGAAATAACCTGTATGTGTGTGCATGTGCTCAATTTTTCTTCCTTTTCAGTTCATTTTCTGCTTTTTTATTTTTATGTTATGTCGTTTCTTCCATTGATGCCACATCATTTGTGTCGGTGCACGCACACACACACACACACACACACACACACACACACACACACACACACACACACACACACACACACACACACACACACACAGTTTTCGGAGGGTGAGACCTATACTGGACACGTGGATTGTATCATATCTTTTCTTTTAATTTTAGTAATAGTTTAGCTGTTTGTCTACACAGACACACACACACACACACACATACACACACACACACACACACACACACAGGTCATTTGAGGTGGCTCACTTTTATCCTCGCTTTTATCGTTAAATCCATAGAAAGAGAAAACAATGTGTGAAGAGAAGAATTGTGTTTTTTCTTTTTTGCCCCGCCCAAATACACTTGCACCGTCGCTTTTGGGGGGCGCCAATTCAGTTACTCTTCACCGGCAAGCAAATGTCGAGTATGACGGACGAAAAAAATAAACGTTAAATAGACGAGAAGAGAAGAACAGAGCCATACCCGTCCAGCCCGAGCCATCTGATAGCGGGGAGGTTGCGCCTCAACACACAAAGCCCCCCCTACTAATTGCGTATTTTTTTATATTTAAAAATCTTATGTGCCAAGGGAGAGATGTACTCACAAGGTATAACGGATGTGAAAGTATTTTTGACTGAACATGGCAGGTGCTAGCAAGCTGCAGTCAGGCTACCACACCTCTCATGCTCTCTGCTTTGTTTGCAAAATTTCCGTTTTCTTTGCACGTTCCGCCCGCAACAGGTAAGCTAGTGTATCTGACTGTAATCACAGGTAGACCTGGATGCATCCGATTGCAAAACTGAAAAATGTCCTACCATCTTCCCCCTAACACAATGCTCCATAAAAATGAACGTATACAAGGCATGTTTCGGGTCCGATGCAGTCGAAGTGAGGGTGAGCTGTGTTCGCAGGAAGACGGTAGTATGCCCTCAACTCTCTAAGCAGGTGCATCAGCGCTTCTTGTGAATCATCATGTGCAGGAAAGACACGGGACACGAATCTGTGCAGCACAACCTGCGCGGTTCTTGTGACAACTATAGAGGGGGCAGGACAGGGCAGAGCGGGGCGGGGAGCTACTAGTAGTTGCCAAAGACTGGTAGCTTCCCCCCCCGCTCTGCCCCGTTCCGCCCCCTCCGCGTCCCTCCCCGTCCCACGCCGCTTCATCCCGCCCTGTCTCGCTCCGTCCCGCTCCGTCCCGCCCCGTACTGCCTCGTCCCACCCTGTCCTGCCCAGATCAGATACGGCGCACCTGCTACTCCTCACTAAGCAGGCTACAACGACCCTAACTTTTTCCGTTGGCGATGCGATGTGCGACCGTGCGACAAGGTGTGAGCGGAAGCGGCAATGAAGTGGTAGTCCGTGTGACAAGGAAAGAGGTTAGCGTCTTTCACTCCTCAGACCACTAGGACGCTCTCTTTCACGATTTCATCATCGTTTTTTTTTTTTTTTTGGGGGGGGGGGGGGGGGGGGGAAYTTYTYWTCMCSMYTTTKYTGCTGYTTTTTTTTTTTATAAAGATTTCATCACTCCTATGATATTTGTGTACATCGTAAAATATCCAGTGCGCGGTATAATAGTTAGGGGGTTGTGGACTCGTCGAGAGTGTCGGGCTGAGGTCGCACTTTCTTGGATTCTTTGCTCTGCACAACAGTAAATTGATTACCAATTCGGAAAAAAAAAAAGGTTGGTTACAAGGATCAACGAACTGAAACACGCCATCTGCGTAAATGGGACATTGGCCCCGAAAAGTTCAGGAGCTTGTCCAAAATTTTTCCTTCTTTTTTCAACAACTAGGGAAAAATACCAGATTTTCTTCCACATTGCAAGAGCTTGTCCAAAAAAATTCACTTTTTTTTTGAAGTAGTATTTCAATAAATAAATAGCAATAGCAAGATGGTGATGAGTTTGTCTGTAGCAAGAAGTTGGGGAGGGGAAAAAAAAAAGAAAAACAAGACGGGGAGGGATGAGCAGTAGGAGGAAGAAGAAGAGAGCGATGAGGAGGGAAAATGAGGAAGAGGAGGGAGGAGGAGATAGGTGAGGAGGGAGTAAAAGGAGGTATGCGGAGGGAGGGAGAGAAAGATGAAAATAGAAGCGGATGACGAAGCCAGGGGGAAAAAAAAAGGACGGGGTCAGTGAAAAAAAAAAAAGGAAACGGACTCGCCCTAACCTCCTCCGTTTCTTTTCTCCGTGCCCCTGAAAACTGAGGACCATTGTAATCATCTCTCGCTCGTTTCTTCTCATCATTGTCATTCCCCCTGCACTCGTGGTCACGACCGCCCTTCTCCTCCTCCTCATTGACACGTTCGCAATCGTCGATTGCTCTTTCTTTTTCTCCATATTTTCATCGCCCCTCACGTCGCCGCCCACATCATCACCACATCATCATCATCGCCCACGTCATCGCCCACGTACTCGTCCTCGTCCACGTCATCGTCCATGGCCTTGGTTCCACTGCACTAACATTGCACCATACTACATCATATGGGCCATCCATCTTAGTCATCAAAGGCCATAAGATGTTAGTACTGCTTGTTTTTAGTGCAGTGGAACGATTCCCCACGTCATCGCCCACGTAAGTGTTCTCGTCCATGAACAAGTCCACATCCACGTCCACATCCACGTCCACATCATCATCACGTCCACATCGTCCATGTCATCCTCCTTGGTCATTTTCCACGTCATCGTCTACGTCGGCGCCCACATCATCCACGTCGTCCATGTCATCCACATCATCCACTTCGTCCACGTCATCGTCCACGTCATCCGTTGCGTACGTGCTCTCGTCCACAAACCAAGTCCACGTCATAATCATCGTCAACGTCATCCTCTTGGTAATCGTCCACGTCATTGTCCCATCATCGTTCACTTTATCGTCCACGTCATCATCCTAGTAATCTAGGGCCGCGCATCTCTCTTCGTGCCGTTGTTGACGTTGTCATCCTCTGTTTCACACTGGGGTTCATGTTATAGAATAGGGACTATATATGTATATATGTATGATGTATATGTGTGTGAATATACATGTATACGTGTATTTATATATATATTTATACATGTATATCATCAAACAGAGCTGCCCGGTAAACTGTAGGCAGAGAGGATAAGAGGACAACATATACTATATCTGTATGTCTATGTACGTGACCGACCTTCTACGTAAGAGGTGATGAACAAGCGGAGCTTTCCAACCTTCTTTCCTTTTTCAGTTTTGTTTTTTTTCGTCTTTGCGCTCCGATACACTGTGTGACGATATATACGGTGTGACGATATGTATGTACATTGTTCGACTGGGCCCAGGTACTTGAGAAATATTTTATTCTGTTAATCTAAATGCAGCAGGATTTGAACTTGAGTCTGTATTTCAACATTTCGCCTCAACCGGACAATTTCAATATATGGCTATACCAACGTGCCTTTCTCAGTTGGTATACCAACTGTTCATCTAATATATGGGTATACCAACTGAGCTAGGTGCGTTGGTTGTATATTATTTTATGAAAAATTTATGAATACCAGAATATAAGATATGTATTGCAAATATATAGTGGTTAAATCTTTTTATTTTTGTTTTTGCCCAACAAATAGCAAGTCTACATCTACGTCTACATCTACATTTACAATACTACAAGAACCGCTGACGTCATACCGCACGGTCCAGGTTGCGGGCCGGTCACCACCCGCGGACGACCTAGATCGCAGGCCGGTCATAAACTTTTCTCATCGGCCTGCGATCTGGGCCGTCCGCAGGTGGTGACCGACCCACAATCTGGGCCGTCTGAAGGTGGTGACTGACCCACAATCTGGGCCGTGCAGTACCGGTTCTGCCCGCCCAAACGACCCTTCCACTTTTTCTTTTTTCTTTTCGTTTTTCGGTTGTTTTTCGTCGTTTTTTTGTGGAAGGGTTTTTGGGGGTGGCTGGTACTTGACGCGCCTATGGCCACTCCACGTCTACTCCCGCGCCTACGATCCTGCTTTCGCCTACTCACTACGCCCAGGGCCTACTCCCACCCGCTCCCCGTGCTTAGGTGTGGACCCCACTGGGCGGTGGCCTGGAAAAGTTTGGGTGCCGGGGTGTTTTCCAGAGCCCACTGGGGCTGGAAACCGGTGTGGAAAGCCGGCCCCGAAAGGAATTCCAGACCCTACTGTGCTTGGAAAGAGGTTGAGGAAATGGTGACGGGGCGTTTCTACATGGTCCGCAATCTGGAAATTCGACGCCGACCGATTTCCATACCCTTTCCAAGGAGGTGGCTAGTTGCGCAGGGGGGGGGGCATGTCCATCAGTTTCCAGACGCGGGCTTCACGGTGTGGACCATGCACCCTCGCCGTGGACCATTTTGTGTACCCGGAGGCCGTGGCGGACATTCGTATTTTCCCATGGTGTCGCACGGTATTCCCAAGGGCCCGCCGCGTTACGCCTGTTCACCCACTGGGTCAGCAGGAGAACCAACATGAACATGAGGTCCTCCCACTCCTCCTCCGAAGCGGCCATGCCCAATGGATCCATGGCGATTCCGTTACCGTGACGGTGACGTCGTCAACCCCTGTACACCGCCTGTTCTGGCCCTGTTGACCGCACAACCTTCACGAACCCATGCGACTCACCAAACCGTCCTCCTTTGTCCCCGGCGATGGCTCCCCGTCAGTGCTCCTGTGCTCAGTGCACTCCGGCTACCAATGGTTAGGACGGCACCTCCCACCAACGGCAAGGAGGGACATCCACCCACGTCCCCAACGGTAATTTCCCGTTGCCTGAGCGGACCTGCTTGGGCCACACAGCAACGCACGACACTTGTGCGGAACCCGCCACACCGGGTCACGCACGGCCACACACGGACTTGTCCTGGAGCAGTGCGGTACAAGGCCATGGTCCACAGCACCCACCCGACTTGCCTTTTCGAGAAACACCCTTCCGCGGTTTCCTATTGGGGTATGCCATGCCTTTTCCAGTGCGGAAACTATCCGTCTGCTGTGGGGTCCCTTCAAAATGCGTCAAGTTTTTTCCAACCAATGTCTGCCGTTTTTTTGTGGCCAACACCAGTTTACAGCCGCCGGCCAGCGGGGTCCTTCTGTTTGTCCCGCCTGTATTCACTCTCTCTCTCTCTCTCTCTGTGTCTCCCTCTCTCTCTCTCCGTGTCTCTCTCTCTGTCCCCCCCCTCCCCGCGGGGGCCTTCCGCTTTGGTGTTCCGTAGCATGTCGTCCGTGCTTCGGTGCTTTGTAGCACGTGCTTGGTGCTTCCGTGAAGCATTGTGGATTCTGTGCCTCATGTTCCGCCCCTCGTCCATTGTGGATTCTGTGCTTCATGCTTCGTGGTTCGTCCTTGCCACTACGTGGATTCGGTGTTTGGTGCATCGTGGGTTCGTGGTGGATTCGGTGCTGTGAGTCGGTGCTCTCGTCAATCGGTGCTGCGTGGATCTGATTCGGTGGTTCGCGGGTGGATCGTGAGCTCCTGCTAAGTGCTCCGACGTGAGCTTCGATGTGGATACCTGCTAGAGTGAGTGTTTCTACTTCACCTCGCCTCGAACCCACAAGGGGGTCAGGCTATTGAGAGAGAGAGAGAGAGAGAGAGAGAGAGAGAGAGAGAGAGAGAGAGAGAGAGAGAGAGAGAGGCATCATCACCATCCCTCCTCCCTCGGCCCGTCCTCCATTCCTGTCTCGACCCTCTCTCCTCCCTCCCTCACCCCTGCGCCATGGGCCCTCCCTCCTTCCTTCCTTTCTCCTTCCTTCTTCCCTCGCTTTCTCCCTCCTTCCTTCGGTGGCGTAAGTTCCTCGGCCCTCCGTCCTCCCTCTCTTCTTGCTCCCCCTTATCTGGGGACGATATAGAGTGCATTCCGTTTTTCTTATCTTTCTCAATTTGAGTTAAGGCTTAGCGCCACATCGTTTTTTTTTTCCATGTGAATAAGGGCGAGCGTGTGCTCTCGCGCGTTCGGTCGCACACAGACGCACACAGGCAGGCGTGTGTGTGTGG